TCTCACACAAACACCCACTGAGTGCACACTGGTGCCATGCTCCCACACACACATCGTGTGCACACTCACCACCACACGTCTCTCTCCCTCACACCGCTAGGGCATGAGAGGCTTCTGGTTCTCAGGTGAGGAAGTAAAAATGGATTAAATTGCCAAGGTCATGGAGGAGCTAGCCCTGGGATGTGGCCCCAGCCGGCTCTGGTGTGGTCCACCTGCCACGGTCACGATTCACTCCAGCCTTTCTGGCCTGGGAAAGCCCGGTCCATCTGGCTCCAGGGTACACTCTCAGCACTTGTTCACCCCTCTTGGCCACCAGGGAGACTGAAGTCTGGAGAGGTGATATTGTTGACAGATGTCAGGCCTGCCACCTTACAGAGGGCTGGTTGGGGGGGCCCAGCCCCTCATTAGCACATAGCTCCTTCCAAAAGTTCTGCCATTTCCAAGAACTCTTTGTCCTCATTTTGGTGACTATGAGTGTTAATTATGCCTTTTTCTAGTAGATACACAAATAGATAATACCAGCTGGGAGAAAAGGTCTGAGCATCTCCTACAATGACGGACACGCATGTGCAAAGCACACAGCAGGGGCCTGGGCTGTCTCGCACCCTCACTTTGTCTGGAGAACCCAAGGCTCAGAGAGGACGCTGTGTCCAAGGGCACACAGCGGGAAGAGGCCCCAGTGCTGCAGCATCAGTCTCCAGCTCTGGCTCCATCTTGGGGGACAGGGAGGCCAAGGGTGGGGGAGGGGTGCAGCAATAAGCACCATTCCCAGGAAGTTCAGAGCAGAACTCCAAAGGATGGGGTTTCCTGAGGTCCAAAGTGTCCTACTATGCCCTCGCTGGTGGTGCAACGGGTTAAAGCACAGCACTGTGAAGCTGTCCACAGCCACTTCAGTGTGAGTTCCATCCCCAGCCAGGGAGCAGACCCACATGGCGCGGCAGACCTCTCCTGACCCACCCACTGCTCCCCTCAGCAGTGTATTTCAGTCCACCTGCCTGTTCTGCTCCCCACTCTGTCTCTGTTGAATCCTCTCATCCTCCACACATCTGGCCCACACCCAAGTTCTGTGTATATAGGTAAACCTTAAAACAAAGGGTCCTACTCACACCAGTGGGACAGCCCTATAGAACCTTGATTTGGGGGGAAGGTGCTTGTGCTGCCTTAGCAATGGGAGCAGGACAGCCACCCTGGAGGAGAGCCTGCCACATGCTGGGGTGTTCTGAGGGCTGTCACTAAGTGTCACCTTGCAGCCACCCGGATCAAGGGTCTTACCCCTGCGGCGCAATGAGGAAGGGAGGCCTTTAAATTGAGGGCATTAAATTGTGCTCTAGGCTGCCTCACTAGCACAAGTGAGGCTCAGTGCATGTACCTAGGCCCCTGGTTGAAGTCATGCTCATAACTGCCCCCCATGCTTCACTGACCATAGGTCTGGTTTGAAGAATGCTTATTGAAGGTGAGGCCTGGGTCTTGGAGCTGTGACAGTCAGGAGATAGGCCAGAGGGGTGAACGGATTGCCAAAGGCCCCAATTGTGCAGAGAGCTGGGGCTTTCAAGCCCCTTCCTCCACCCCATCTGGGGGTTTCTGCAGCCTGGAGTTGCCTGTGTATGGGAAGCAAACACTCAGGACAGGACAGCAAAGCCTGGCACTGGGTATCCCTCCCCTGTCCTTTCAGTCAGATCCCTCCCTAGCCTCTCAGGGATGGGTAGAGATGGTGGGAGTTGGTGGGGAAACTCAGTCTACTTTCAACAGTGCTTCTACACATGGCATCATAGGGCCGCTTGGGATCAGTCACATCCTGGCACCCCAGGGCAACACCCACACAGGCAAGCAGGTGTCCTTCAGCCTCTTCCAGGGACAAGTTGAGGTTCCAACCAGAGCACACTGGAGGGGCGGCAGATACCAGCCTGCAGGCCTTATCGCCACGGCAGTAAAAAACTCAAGCCCGAGGAATCTGGGACCCTGGACAGTTTTGAGGGAGGGAAGTGCTCTGAGCGGATTAAAAACAGGACCTCTGATAGTTCCCAACAGGAACTGTAATAGCCCAGTGAGAAAGCAAGAAGGCGAAGCCTGGGGCAGCTGTTAGGGGTAGTGATGGTGGGGAACAGCATCCTGACCTATGCGGAGGTAGAGTCATGGGCACTTGTGAGCTGTCGGATGTGGGAATGCAGACAAAGCACTTGGGATTGAATGACTTCTGTCTCTGGCTTGCACAGATGGGTAGAGGTGGAGCCACTGACTCAGATAAAGAATATAGAAAACAATTCGAGGCAAAAGTGACTTTGTTTCTAGACTCACCAACTTAGAAGGGCCCTATGGCACCCAGCTGGGAGGGCAGGGGTCCACAGTGAGACAGGGGCACAAAACTGGAGCACAGCGGTCTGGTCTGGGCTAGAGATAAAGTTCCTAGAATTAACATTAAGAGAAGAGTTTCAGGGAAGTACTTAGATGTTACATTTTAGGTTGCGCTACATAGACTGAAATTTGAAGCTAGAGAAACAGTGACATTTAGGAAGAGGTGATGCTCGGTCAAAAAAGGGAGGGCCACAGAAACCCGAGCTTCATGCAGGAGGGAGAAGGATCACGGCCTCAGTAGCTGAAGGGCCAGAAAGGGAGAGGCAAGGATGTCCTTGGGTCTGGCCGTGACACCACGCAGGCTCACCAGAGCCTCAGCATGGGGGGCCCAAGGGGCAGTGCTGGGCACGAGACAGAAGGCAGACAGCAGCCAGTGATGGAGGTGGCAGGTGGTTCTCAGGGCAGGGGACCTGAGCGTCAGCAGACTGAGAAGACTGAGAATTCGTGGCAGCTGCTTGCTTCAGAGGAAAGCAAGGCTGAGGAGAGGATAGAGCCTGAGGGTGCCGGCTTTGAGCAGGAGGGGCGGGCTGGGTCCAGGATCATGCAAAGCTCCAGATGGGCGTGAAGAAAAACTTGCGCATGGGATTAGGAAATGGAGAATGCACACCTACTGGCCTTGATTTCCTTGAAGTAGCGAGGCAGCGTTTTCTAGGGGAGAAAGAAGGGGAAATACAGGAAGCTTGTGTGGGGACCTGAGAGTGAGCCTCAAGAAAGGCTTAATGCCAAGGGAGGATGTGCCCACGGGGGTAGGAACATAAAGCTGCTATGCTTGGGCAGCTCGAGGGGGAACAGATAAACGGGGTCACAGATGCAATGTTGGGACCTTGCCGCAGTGAAGGATGGATGCAAGGAAGCCAGAGCCCCCTGAGAGGAGTTGGTCTGAGGGGCGAACCAGCAGCCCTCAGAGGTGCCAGGCAGAGCTAGCCTCTAACTGTGGAGCCCAAGTCTGACTCTGGTCCCCAGGGTCAGACCCAGCCCATTACTTCCTGGTGGTGACAACCCTCTGCAGAGCAGCCTGCAGGGGGCAGACGGGAGTCTGGCCTCTAAGCCCGAATACCGTCCACCTCTGACCACAGGGATCCTGAGCTCTGTTGCAGGAGATGGGCAAAACGATGGACATTCCTCTGCTGGAACGTCCTGTTCTTTCATCATAGAAAGACGAGGTGCAGCCCCCCTGGTGTGCAGTGGGTAAAAGTGCAGCATGCAAGTGAGCCACAGACCCACATTGTGAGGCAGACCTCTCCTGTCTCACCGGCTGCTCCCCTCAGCAGTGTACTTCATTGATCTGCCCCTTCTGCTCCCCACTCTGTCTCTGGTGAATCCTCTTGCTGTCCCTGTACCTCTGGCCTGTACCCCAGTTCTGTATGCATAAATATAAATCTTAAAAAAAAAAAAAAAAAGACGAGGTGCTCTCAAGTACTTGTCCACAAACCATAAAGATGGAGTGCATTTAGATGTCTGGTTACTAGTTGAACCCTTATGTCCAGTGAAGTCACCGTTAACCTTGTATATAACTGGTTTCACACACTAGGCTTATTGAATTCGTGGCAGCTGCTTGCTTCAGACCAAATCCTTCCGTCCACACAAGACTGGTTAGTGTCTGTGGGACTCGACCAAGACTCAGAGCAACACAGGAGTGGCCCCGACAGGGCGGGCTTAGCGGGAAAAACAGGCAATCGAGACACCAACTTTGGTGTCAGCTTCTCTTGATAAAGCTAAAGTACCTATCTGTCCACCTTGGAAGCCCCAATTTCAGGTGCCTTTTGAATAAGAGCCTTGAGGCTTCCAGATCAGTCTGAGGCCTTAGCAGTTGGGGATTGGGAGGGGTCACGCTGTCCGTGCTGCTGGCTCTGCCCTGCCTGCCTGAGGCCCATGCCCTGCGGGCCTCTGCACACCTTGGGGGCTGCACACCTGCTCAGGAGCCCATACTCAGTGAGCCCCTCCTCCCACTGTTTCCCTGGCCTGCTTCCGGTACTAAGTCAAGTCTCTGCTTCTCTGCAAGCCCCATCTGAATGTCGTCCCCACGCCCCCCATTCCCTCTAATACTTGGGACTTGGCTTTGAACTTCAGCAGATCTTTGCAAACTTAACTCCCCACCTCAGGATGGCAGGTGACCCTCCCCTCACCGAGACCCCAGCATTGGGGCTCAGTCCAGGCATGTAGGGAAGCCTGAGGCCAAACCCCTGGTGCTCTGCGCTAGTCAGAATGTGCCTGGGCTCTGGGATCTTCTGGAAGGCCCTTGGAGCTGCTTCTTTCTTTTCCCAGCAGCAGCATTTTCTTGGCAGCTCCCCACCCCCATACCTGCTGGTTTTCTTCAGGGATGTTTGGGTCCCGCAGCAAGCACTGCTCACTGTACCTGTGAGACACTGACATGGGCCCGTTCAGTTTGAAGGGACTCTTCCACAAAGATGAAACACAAGCCGGCTCAGGGGTCACCCCCCAGGTGGTTCACCCTGCACTCTGCGGTGGAAGGAGCCCGAGGAGCAGCTCCCAGCTGCTCGCATCTCCCTCTCAGGGGTGGCCCTCCCTGGCCCCACCATGTAGATTCTGCCGGCCTGGTCAAGGATGACCCTCTGTCCCCTCTGGGACTCAGGCCTCTCCTCTCTCGTGGAACTTTCTTCATTCTCTATCTCTTAAGATCCAAAAAACAAGGAATTAAGACACTTTATTGATGGCTTCCTTGAGTTACAGACAATGGAAGGACAAGCCTTTCTCTCCATGCAGGGGACAATGGAATGCAGGGACAAGGAGAGCACCTGCAACAGGAGCGCTGGCACTCAGGCCTCAGCTCACCCTCAGTTGCGCGCCCCACCCACTGTCTGGCTCATGTAGCATGGGGAAGTGAGGGGACCCCGTGGCCTCGGAGTGAGGGGCCAGGTCCTGTGCAGTCAGTCAGGCTGCCACTGAGGTGGGAGGGAGGTTGGAATCAGTGGGGACAAGTGTCAGGCTTGTCCCCTCTGGTCTCGGCCCACCCCCAGAGCCTTCCCGAGGCCGAGGTATCAGTGCCAGAGCAGCGGGAAGAAGCAGGCGCCAAGTGCTGGGCCCGGCTTTCCTCCCACACCCACGTCTGGTGACCCGGCTCCACCTGCCACGGCGAAGAACATCCCCAGGGGTTGCAGCTGGAAGGGCAGCAAGGGTGGAGCAAGGAGAGTCAGACCAGTTCTTGTCCTACGGCCTCCTGAAATGTCCCCCTCCCCTCAACCCCAGAGTCCTGGGTGGGCAAACCAGAGCTCAAGGACCCTGCCACTCTTCCCGAATTAAACTAGCTGAGCACGGCAGCTATAAAGAGGGGGAAGGAATAGATGCCACGGGCTTGGAGTGGGGAGACCGGGAAGAGTGGTGCTGGGGTAGGGGAGATGTGGTCGTGGCTCCGTCCCATCCCAGCAGTGGGCAGCTGTGGCCACAGGTCCCAAGTGGACCGCACGGCCCATCTAGCTGAGCATCTTGTGCCGATCGAAAACTGTCTTCCGCTGCTCCTGCACCTGTAGCTTCCACCGCTGCTGTGCGCCTTCCACACGCTCCAGCACTGTGTTGGCACGGGGGCCCCCGAGAGAGGCAGCTGCCGCCACAGAACGGGCATCCTATAGCAGGAGAGAAAGAAAATTTGGCGCCGTGAGCTACTGGGGTCTGGAAAGCTAGACGGGGAAGAACACCCTGCCACACCTGAGTCTCAGCCCCTAGACTAGGAGACAGACGTCTCCGAGGGCTCCGGCTCCTGGAAGGCCCATAACAGTGTCTGACCTGTCCTGGAGGACAGGACCCGAGCCCTTCTCTGGAGCTTGGGAAAGGGGGCGCTCCAGGGGAAGTGTGAGAAGGGGTCTCCCCAAGCGGCAACCTGAAGGCCAATTTCTGACTCTCAGGAGAATAGGGAGTGTGGCCTTAGGGTCTCACTTGGTCAGTCCGGAGGAAGGGGCCTGTGGGCACAGGGCTGGCAGGAGGCCCGGGGCAGGCCTGGGTGCTAAGCACCCCTGCTGCTCTCATGAGGCCAGGACACCAGGCTGACCCCCCCTGGGAAGGGGGCCGGATGTCACTCACAGGGACTGGCAGGGATGGAAATCTGGAGCCCCACTCAGCATTCCACTCCAGAGCCTGCTCTGGCCCCTCTTCTCTGTGACAGCTTAGGGTAACTCAGCTCCTTCCCTATCTGCCCCCACCGATCTCCCTTCTTTGCTCTCAAACTGTTTCTGTCGTCAAAAGTAGCATCCTCCCCTAATTACCACTTCTCTGCCTCTGAAGCCCCGGAGCCGTGCATTTCCTGCAGGACCCAAACCTGATCTTTGGGGGGAATTAGAGCTCAGGGCCAGGCCCACACCCCCACGGGGATTTCCTCCCTAGCACTCCCTGCCTCTCATCTCCTGCCACATATCTCTTAAAGGATTAGCACACCTCTCTAAGCCCAGAGCCGCCCAGTAAATGCAAGTTTGCTTCTAATGCCCCGAGCTGGCACGGCTTCTGTCGCCATGCAGCTGCCAGGCCGGGGAGAGGGAGGAGTGGCTAGGGAGACAGGGGAGGCACAGGGAACTGGCAGTCGCTGAGAGGTATCTGTCTGGAGGTGAGGCTGGGAGGTAAGTTCGCTGTCCCCACAGGGCTCTGAGTCCTGTTGAGCACTGCCCAGGGAGTTAGAGATAGACACTGCCCCAGTGGCCGCAAGCAGGACCAAGAAGATTCTTCTGCTAGGCGGGGTGAGGAGTGGTGCACACCCCATGCAGAGCTGGCAGTGTCATCAGGAGGCGCGCTGGCCTCAAGTCAGAATGGCCCAGTTCTGTGCTGGCTCCCAAGGGCCACCTTCTCTGGCCTGACTCCCTAGGCCCAGTTCACGTCTACGGTGGGAGCCAGGAAGGAGGGACCGCCTCGGCCACGTGGCAGCTGTGTGCCCCAGGACAAGCTCCAGCATTTCTCCAGGCTTCAGTTTAATCAACAGCATCTTTACAGGCGTTTAGGACACATCGCCATAGAAAGTACATTCCCATTTACAGACACAGGGGGAAAAAGCTTCACCGCATACTCCTACTCCATTTCATTTCTTAAAAAAGCTAAGTCTGGGGCCTCCCTGGTGGCGCAGTGGGTTAAAGTGCAGCATCAAGAAGCTAAAGCCACTATAGCAAGAGTTCAATCCCCGCCCTGGAGGTGACCCACATGGCGCGGCAGACCTCTCCTGACCCGCCCGCTGCTCCCCTCAGCAGTGTACTTTGTCAGTCTGCCTGTTCTGCTCCCCACTCTGTCTCTGGTGAATCCTTTCACTGCCCCTGCACCTCTGGCCTGCACCCTAGTTCTGTATGCACAAATAAATAAATCTTTAAAAAAAAAAAAAAAAAAGCTGAGTCTAACTCACCAACTTGTTTTCACGACCCTTGGGTTGTGGCCCAGTTAGAAAAACAGCTAGTGACGAGGACAGGGGAGCCTAAGGAAAATAACCCACATGCAGCACCTCGCAGGCTGACTGCCTTGGAGCAGGAGCTCAAGAGATGTCTCGTGTCTTGCTCCCTACCAGCCTTGCAAATCTGGCTCTGAACTGCAGCTCTGTCACCCACAGACCTGGACCGGGAGGGTGACACGATCTCTGACCTGCCTCTCTGTCCACGGATGGAGCCATAAGCGCTGCCACCGAGTGAGGTGACAGGGCAGAGCCTGTAGCAAGCGTGATTCACGCACATCAGGCCCCAGCCCTGGCACTGACTAGCCAGGCAGAAGAGGAGAAGCTGGCGCCTGCTGGGGACCACCTCTGGCATGGCGTGGTGGCAGGGTGCCCCTTTCAAGTCTGTTACCCCCCAGCCCGGCTGTGCAACTCAACGCCACGTGCTCATGGGCACCAGCGCAGTCCCACAGGGCTGTCCTGTGGGGCGGGGGGGCACTGTGGATCCCCGGGGAGTGGCTGGCCCGCCATTAACTGGCCATGGGGGGGGTCAAGGGCCAAGGACTTCTCTTCCACCTCACACCCCGTCTAGTCCCTTCCGGGCTGGGATGGGTCTTGCTGGCCCAAGCTGGGTGTCAGGCAAGCTTCAGCCCTGCTGCTCCCATCTAGAGAGAGTCTGCAGGAGAGGCAGCCAGAGGGAGCCAACAGCAGAGCATTAAGGGAACATGCTGAAATTCACCGCATTACCACAGTATCATTTGTTTTCCCTTCATGTAAAGTCTTAACAAACAGCTCCTAAGTGGGAGAAAGCTGCTGCTGAGAGGCTCCGTGTTTCCATCGCTAATAGTCTGATTAAAAGGTATTAAAGACTCCACATCTGCTCCAGAGATGGCCCTGCACTGTAGTGGGAAGGGGCTGGAGACAGGAGCCTCAAACCTCCACCCACAGCAGCCCAGAGGTGGGGCATGAGCAGCAGGATAATGACCAGCGTGGCCACCAGGCGCGTCACACAGACCAGCCCCAGCCCACCAGCTGGGCAGCGCTGTTCTCACGTGTAGATGAGAAAGTATGGTCCCAGAAGACAAATCACCAGGCTGTTCAGTGGCCAGGTGGGCATCAGAACCTGGGACCTTCTTTGGCTGGTTTGTGCTAGTAGGAAGTCAACATGGAAAACCAAAGACCGGGGATGGGGGGGGAGTCTTTCCCTGAGGGGGTGCAGGAACTTGAGGCCAGATTCCTGCTACAGCCCTGGGAGGGCCCACAATCAGCATGGACAAGCCTGAACCCACAAATTCCCTGGGCGCCCAGAGGATGGTCCGAGTGTTAGGGGCGGAACTCAGGGCTGAAGACAGGCGATCGTGGAAATGAGAGCCAGTGCGGGCACTGCCTCCCCGCTGCACCCCAGCCCCGGGGGTGGAGTGGAGCCGCCATCTAGTCTCCTCTCCCTCCACACAGTTCTGAGCGGCGCTAGGCCACAGACTCCGCAGAGGCAGCCAGATAGCCTCCCTCGGTTCCCAAGTCGAGCCTAATCCTCCCTGTGGCTGCCAAATCAGCCCCTCTCTGTTCCACAAGGGCCATCTCCCTGTGATGTCATGTAACTGCTCCAGCTCAAGCCTCGTGGGGCGCCCCTGCTACCCACAGGTCAAACACTGCCTCGGGCGCACGGCACTGGCCAAGCCCTGTTCTTTGGCCACGCCGCCCTTCCACTGCTAGGCCTCGCCTGTGCTGCCATTCCAATGTCTTTCCCACCACAATCACAACTTGAGCGTTGAGTCCTGATGGAAGCAGCTACTCTTCAGGGTGAGCGGCACCAAGCTCACGGGGTCACAGCCACACTGAGGTTACAACTAGCACGCCCACTGCAGCACTTCTTAACTGAGAGTCAGTTAAGGACCACGGAGAGCGAGGCGTGAGCTGGGTGCCAGCCCACAGCTACTCCCCGAGGTCATGCTCCCCAGGACAGCGCCGTGATGTACCAAAGGCCTGTTCCAGGGTCATCTTCCAAAGCGCACACCTTTCTATCTGTCTGCAGAGGAGAGCGGAGGGGGCTCCTGGCGGCCACAGCTTCTCTGGGCTTGCCCAGTGCCCTGGTGTAGTGGGGCCCATCTCCGTGGCCTGGTCTTGCTTCAGCGTCCTGTGTCATCCTTCTCCTCCTTATCCTCATCCTCCTCTTTCCTTGATTCCCTGCATGCCCCTTTCCTCCAGGGGTCCTAGAACTGGACCCGAGCCCCAGTGGTGGGTTGAGCTCTTTGAGGACCTCTTCAGAGCTCGGGGGCTCATGCTGCAAGCCCAGAGACACCAGAGCTCATAGAAACCTTTATTTCTCTCTCTTCAAAGAGGGCCAAACCTGTACATCTAAAACAACTCTGTTTGCCGTTTCTGTCCCAGCAAACATGCTTGCTTCCTCCTTTCAAAGGGCGTCTGAGCTCAGGGATTAGCCCTAATGCTGCTGGAATCCCAGGGGAGGCAGCGCCCAGCAATCAAGGCCCACGGGGCCTGCCAGGCTTTCAAAGGGAACCCCACGGCTTTCATCTCCCTCCGAGGCAAGGCGCTGAGGCTGGGCTCTGGGGAGGCAACCCCTTCCTCTTCCAGCCCTCTGGCCCCAGGGCAGGAGAGCTCCTGACAAGGACAGAGAACAGACCCAATCCTGGGATGGGATCCAACCTCCATGTTTCACCTCTGACTGGGTCCCAGACTCTAGTGGGGCAGGGGGAAGCCCTGGAGCCTAGGAAGAGATTCCTTCTCTAGGCCTCCTCTGGGCCTAGGCGAACAGGAAGCACCTAGAGGTCTTTACTTCTTCCTCCCGAGTGAAAGCAGCATGCCTACACTCCAGGGAGGGTACAGCCCATCCTAAGGGGCTCAAATGCGACTGAACCCAGACACGCAGCCCAGCCGCTGCCTGGCTCTGCCTGCACGGGGGCCTTGGGCCTCCCCTCCCTGCCCTCAATGCTGGACCCCTTTCCCAGGGGCAGTGAAGATGAGCTGGCAGGTACCCCTCACAATCCTGGACCCGGGACTCTGGGGGCCAGACCTGGACTCCATTCGCCCAGACTGTCCCCCATGGCAGCTGAGCAGTTACATTCATCCTCTGAGCTGCTCTGAGAAGCCTCTCTGCCAACAAGCCCTCCTTCCTAGACTGAAAGGGGAGCACAGTGCCCAAGCCAGGTCTAGTAAAGAGCCCCCCCAAGGCACCCAGCTTTCCCCGATCACCCATCGCCTAAAACCTGACCCTACCCGCTGCTTTCACGTCCCTGCTCCTTCACGGGTCTGGGCTGCCAGGGCTTACACCCCAGCGTCGCTCTTACAGGGTGCTGCCTGAGGATTTGTGACAGGCAGGGGACGCAGCCGCCGAGCTCCATGGAAGGGTGAGCCAGGAGCCTCTCAAGCATGCCTTGCAGAATCATGAGGCAAGGCCGGAGGCCATTTAGTTCTGGGGCCGGGGGCTGCACTGAGGCGTCCCTTACCCAGCAAGGGCCCCCCCACGGGCCAGCTCAGCGCCAAGTTGGGGGAGCAGAGCTGGAACACACTTTACTGCCTTCTCGTCCCCTGGCTGGGAAGGGAGCAGGCGTCCTTCATTTCCACAGCCCCCTTCCTGGGTGGGGTCTCCTTTACAACCCAACTGGCCAGACAGCACCCTTTGAGGCTCCACTCAGCTTCTGCTCCCATGGCCAGGTGGACCGAATCTACCCTCCTCTGTCCCCAGCCTCCTGCACTGAGACCACCTGGACTTACAACTCAGAGTGGGGAGGCCCCAGGTCTCTCTGTCCTCCCCTCGCCTCCCCAGGGCAGGAGACACTGCGCGGCCCTGCCCGAGAGCCAAGCATTCCAGGGAGCCGCGGCGGCCGTGTAATCATGGCGCATCTCTCAATTACCCCCAGCCAGGACTGCAATTACTACATTACCCCTAATCGCTGAGTGTTTATTAGCGATGCTCCGCCCCTATCAGAGCTGCTATTACTGCACATTAATAACCAGGTAGGCACAAGAGGTTTCCTCTTGAACACAGACCACCCAACTGCCAGTGCCCCCACCCTGCAGGCCCCAGCTCCAGGGGGTGAGCCCCATCCTCTCTGCGCCACCTTTGGCCAAAGGCCTGTCAGCAGGCGGCTAGGGGCTGCTGAGAAGTGTCCAGGCATGTGCCCAGAAACAGCCACCTCCATGGAGCATTCAGGCCCCCAGCCTGGTCCTCCTGCTGGGGCTGCCCACACCACACCCACATGGCCCAGGTAGCGCCCACCCACATCCGAGCCCTGGTCCTGTAAACGGGGAACCTGCCCTTCCCCACCTCCAGCCCATTGCCTCAGTGCACTCTTCGTGACTGCCCATGTCTGTCCAGCCCTCGCCTGGTGGCCTCCGGTGACCTGAACTCACTCCCCAGCCCCATCACACTGCCCTGTCTACCAGTCTCCTCACACAGGACTCTCTCTCTTATGCCCCAACCACGCCCCAACCCTCACCCTGGCTTGACCCCCGCCAGGCTGCTCAAGCTCTCTCTTGCCAACACCAGCATGCGTCATGTTCCTCGTCCAGTTTGGCTTTTCCTCTTCAAGCTACGCTTCTTCAGCCAATGCTCCCTTATCTATGTGCTGGCATGGCCCTGCTCTGTGGGTGAAGGTAGGAGTGTCCCCACAGCTGCAGGGCAGCCCCCAGATAGCGCAGCCCCGGCCAAACCACCAACCTCCCAGGGGCTGTCTGGGGGCAGAAAGCAGTCCTGAGACATCACCACTCTGCTGGGGCCCGCCTCACTCAGGTGGGCGTGTGCGCAGAGCTGGCAGCTGTGCAGGCCCAGGGGAGCTGAGTGCACAGGGCAGGAAGTAATGGCCCCGCGGGAGAGTCCGCCAGCCTCCCTGGGGTACGCTGCTTCTCGCTCCCAGAGACCTTCTCCAGTCTCATCCGTTCCAGCAGAGTCTGGTCTCCAGGCAGTCCCTAACTCTAGGATGGGTGGGGAAGGGCAGAGTGAATGCAGGTCTGGCTGAGCCCTGCCCCCCAACAATGGCCAGGCTTCCCATGGGGCTTGCAGGCCGTCTGGTACCTGTGGCTCCTATCTTTATGGAATAAAGCCCAGCTTGACATGTGGGCCCAGGAGCCAACTCTCTTTGCCACTATCCCTACACACCTCATCCCTGAAATGCTCAACATCTCTCAGGCATCCACGGTGATCCCCACCTTGGCACATCTCAGTCTTCTCCTCACTGGTCCTTCGAGGGAAACATGTCTTTCCCTCATGGCCCTGGTGCTGTGCTTGGCACCAGGCAGGGGCTCAAAGATGCCTGCTGAACTAGTGAGGAACGGGCCTGCCAGCTCCCAACCTACCGCCCGTGTGTCAGGTGTCTCCACACAACAGGCGCTGGGTGGTTCACCTGCCCCTGCCTAGAAATGCCCAGCAGGAAGCATGCCAGCAAGTGCTGCCTAGATCGGGCTCATCAGGAGAAATTCGGGACCATTCCTGTTTCATCTGGAAGTGCACTGGGGGGTTACCTGCTAGGGCGGACCCTGGAACTGGGTGACATGTAGGCCAATGGGCAGGAATGGTGGACACAGGTCACCCATCCCCACCTGGGCCCTGGTGCTGCAGGTGTAGCAGGTGCAGCCTGGGACCCTGCCTGTGGGCAGAGGGATTGGCAGGGCACTGCACGCAGAGCCTGGGTACCTCATTCTCTTCCTCGTTGTGCAGCTGTTCGGTGTAGGCATCTGGCTTTCGAATCAGAGGGTCCACCAGCATCAGGAAGGCCATGTAGAGCAGGAGGGCACCGACCACAGACAGGTAGATGACAATGATGACCTGTGGAGGAGACCCCGTGCCCTGAGAGCCAGCTCTGGCCGGAGCACCCTGTTCCTGGCCTCTGCCATTCATGTTCCCAGGCCATGGACTGCTCAAGGGCGGGCAGCGGTCATGTGGGCTCGGAGGAAAGAGCTGTAATGGGTGGGCGGGGGCCCTCCTACCCCACAGTGACTGACTTCTTCGAAACCCCTGTGGGATTCTCTGGCAGGCATGAGGGTGACAGATGATAACGAGGTCTGGATCTTGACACTCCTAGATGTTCCTAGGGTACAGATAAGGCAAACAGGGCCTGAAGAGCTATAGAGGACCCTGTGGTAATGGGGGAGAGCAATGGGATCCTGAGTAAGAGCAAATAGCTGGCTGATGGGGAGGCCTGAGCCTGGCCTCAGTTCCCGTGCCTGAGAGTATGTTAGTGGGAGGCTGCGGTTCTGAAGGCATGCACGCCCACGCAGCACCAGGGAGCGTGGGCCCCCCTGGAAAGAAGGTGTGCACTGCAAACAAAGTGTACAGGTGAAACCCAGGGCAGGACAACTTTGCATAGGTGGAGAGGCTCCTCAGCTCCCTCACTTCAGAATGCTCTTTTACAGAAGAGACAGAAGCAACAGGGTGCATTCAGTGTTTCTCAGTGTTGCTACTTGGGGTTCAGGCAGTCCCTTCCAAAGCATTTAGCCTCCATGGGCCTTTCCACTCATCTCTAAACATGCCTGGGGAACCAGTAATCGTCTGGCTGAGAACCATGGGGCTACTTCATTCACTCGAGGTGCAAGGTCAGTAAGTAGGAGAGATATAACTGAACCCAGGTTGCTGATCCCATCTCAAATGCTCCTCCTACTTCTGTAAGTCTGGCCACTGCTGGCTGCTGACCTGAGCTCTGGCCCCGAACAGAGGAGGGTGAAAGGGAAAACCTGAAGGTTTTCAAGTTAGGCGCCCACCTCTGTCACTAGCCAACATCCTCCCTGACTGGGGCATCAGTGTTCAGATCTCTTAAACAGGATAAATCATCAGACCTCTTGTCTGCAGGAAGCAGGATGGGAACAGAAGCTGGGCCTTCTATAGGCTCAAGCTGGAAGGGAGTGGAGTCTCCTGGGAGTATAGGGCAATTTGAGGGACTAGGAAATGTCTGATGAGGTCCCAGCGGGAAGTCCCTTTCCTGCTAAACAAGGTGAGGACATATCTGACCCAGAACACAAGGTCTCAGGCACCTGGAAGGGTGGGGAACACAGGGGTAAGTCCAGGGGAGAAAGAGGGCTCCAGCGGGGGCTGCCTCAGGGGGAGGATAAAAGGCCAGAGGCAGCACAGAGCTGACTGAGGGGTGGGGACAGGCAGGACAGTGGTAAGGATCTTGATCCTCCAAATGAACCCAAAAGGGAAAACTGAGCGGGACTCAGTAAGTTGTTAAATTCTAAGTGGTCTTTCCCGAGGCCACTTCTGGACTCCAGGAGACAAGCAGGAAAACACTGTTTATTACAATCTGGGCAAGAAGGACTGATGTTAGCTCAGCTACCATGGCCGTGTCAGGACAGCCACTACCTGCTACACTCAGAGAGGGGCTTTGGAGGGATGAGTCTCTGCTCAAGTGAGTCGGGGTCTAGTCCTGCCTGGGGACAGAGGAACAGATGAGGCCCTAGATCTCGCTCCCTGTGGCGGGGCTCAGGCCGACCACTGCCATCCCACGTTTACCCAAGGATCCCAGACAACAAGCTGCAGGGAACAAAAAAGACAGTAGCTGTTGCCTGGCTGCCTACACTGGCCTTGGCCTTGGCCTCAGCTCCCTGAGGTCTGCTGTCTTCCTGAAGGCTGGACTGACCTGGGGAGGTCAAGCCTCACTCCATGCCAGCATTCTGCAGTGTCCAGAGCATTGCAGAGACTGAAAGTTGTTGACTGCATGAAGAGGAGAAAGAGGACGGGGGGAAACTGGAAAGAATGGGAAGAAAAAGGAGTCTCACGCTCCTTCCTCAGGTCTCCCGTGGCCAAGGTAGTAACAGGTGCCATGGGAAAGTGGTCATAGAGAAAGCTGCTTCTGAGGTATGGGAGGTAGTTCTTGGTGTCTGTGACTAGGCCAGATGGGAAGCCAGACCCAGTCACTTGCAATGTTCCAGAATAAAGCAAGGGGCCGTGGGTGCAGGCAGCGTGGCGGGGTGTGGCGTGGCGGGGTGTGGCGTGGCGGGGTGTGCTGTGGCGGGGTGTGGCGTGGCGGGGTGTGCTGTGGTGGGGTGTGGCGTGGCAGGCCATGCTACCTTGATGGTAGTGGTGCTGCGCTCCTCGTACTTGCACTCGCACAGCAGGCAGTAGGCCTCCACGTCGTGGCCGGGCACTGGCATGGGCTCCACCACGTGCAGGCAGTTGCTGCGACAGAGACAGACAAGGCTGAGGTGCAGGGCCAGGGGTGCAGCGGCCCAGGAGTGAGCAGGCCCCACCTCAGGGAACAGTAGCTCCCAGGAGGGGACGGGGCTTCTGACGGGTCAGGCTGGCACACCCCTTTCCCAACCCAGGCCCCGCCACCGGCCCATCGGAACCAGCTCTCCAACTATGCTGCAGAACCAGCGCTAGCTGCGTCAACACGCCCCAAATTCTGCCCCCAGCTGCCTGTTTCAGCTGTGCTGTTCTGGGGGGGCGGGGCAGGAAGGGGGGTGCCTCAGCCCCCTAGTCCCACCCCCTTGGCTCCGTGGTGTCTCCCCTTGCCCCACCTCCACTCCCCACCTAGCCACCGAGTCAGACCCGGGAACTGCCACAGCCTCTGCCCTTTTCTCTCACCTATGAATCTACCAGATTCCAGGTCTCACCTTCTTATACGTTTCTAAGACCCATCTTTTCTTCATTCTCTCCCACTGGCATGTCTTAACTGAGGCCCATGTCATTTCTTACTGGGACAACTTACCCTGCCTCCCTGCACTCTCCCGCCTCCGGTTCCAACTTTACTTCACCAGCACTTTGTCTTCACAAAATTGGAGTGTGTAGACACCTCCTCCAGGAAGGCCTCCAGGGTGAGCCCTACCCCACAGAGCTGCAGCACAGCCTCCATCACTGGCGGGCTCTGCTCCTCCCACCCCGCAGTTAGCTGACCTTCTGGCCTGTTCTGTGAATGAGCTGTGCCTTACTCGACATGTCTCACAGCCTGTCAGGAGTGCACAGCCCTGCTCTTGCTCTGAACACACCTACTGTTCAAGCGTTAGCTCAAAAGCTCTGCTCTCCGCCCACCACAGCCAGCTCCCCTGTGTCTCCCTTCACAGCTCTCCCTGCTCCCCTTCCACTTAGGCCTTTCCTTGTACTGTCTCCCCAGGAGACGCGAGTTCCCCAAGGATACGGTCATCTTTATAGCCCCAGTGCCACCCATACTATGGGCCTAGCGGCTAAGAGACAGGCACCACGCGCCCTGTCAACCTACTCTTGCCCAAAGGCTCCTCACTCAGGGAGGCTCAAGACTGAAGGCCCACATTTAAAAAGAGGGAAACAGGCTCGGACCAGCAAGCCGGCATCTTGATTATGGGGGTGAGGTCATGACCCAAGCCTAGCCCCTCAGCTTCTCATCATTGCCGAGGCTTGGCCTCAGTGGGGCCCATCTAGTGCTCAGCTCTGCACCGGGCATCTCCACCCTGACATGAGCACACCCCAAGGCGGCCGACAGACACAGTGAGCAAACCACTGAAAATCAAACTCTTGGATACCTGCAGGTGAACTGGGTGTCACAGTGGCACCCTTCTCTGAGATACACACGGGCCACCCCAGGTGACCACCAGCAAGGCCCTTCGGCTCTGACAGGCATCCCGCAAGAGTCGACACTCTCTGGAAACAATCAGCCTGTCTTCCTAGACTCAAGCTGGGTTTCTGGCAGAGCATCAAGGATGTGTGGCGTGAAACCAGGTATTGAAATAAGAGTGGGATTTCCATTTTTTAAAAAGTTCAGAAGTCTTTAAAAATCTAAAATCCAGTCCCCAGTCTGTGGCAGGCACGCATTTATCTAGGCCTCTGACCACTTCCGGCTGGGTAGCAGCTGCCAACACGTGACTCGCTGCTGCATAAATGGGCCTTCCCCTAATGCTACTAAAGGCACCTGTCACACCCTGCACCCTGCTGCCAGGGGGTGGGGAGCTGAGGGGAAAGGCTGGGTTGACCCCCACCACTTGGTCAGCAGTCCTGGGCTGTCCCATCTCCAGAATTCTCAAGCCTCCTCAGGCCCAGATTCCTCTTTCTGAGCTATGCAGAACCCCTCAGTTTGGAAGGTCACCTGAGAGCTAGGATTCCCCTCAAGGTCAGTGTGGGGTGGGATGTCAGAAACAGCTGGGAGGACAAGCCAAGTTCTTGGTACTAGGAGTCATTACTCGGGGGACTAAACTACAAGTCCAGGGGAAGGAACAGCAGCCCAGAGCTGAAATCCACCTGCTGTCAAGGCTCTACTGAGAGGCAGTGTAATCTAACAGGTTTGCGCTTGCCTACGGATTTCTGGCTCCCTTTTTGGGGCTCCATGATAGTCAAGACTCCATGGGTTAGTCAGGACCCATCGAGGGAGACAAGCTGGGCTTAATTCTCTTTTTCTGTGCTCTGAGCCTGGTCAGTTTCTTCATTTATAAATCGGGGCTGAACCTGATCCATGCCTTTCACTCTGTACTCTCTTGGGGACCCCAGGGCTCTCTTGGGGGTGGTGAGAGAGCTTGCACTCAGCAGAGCAGTTCCTGTTTTGACACCGTTTCCAAAACAGATTGTGCCTATTAGAAAAGCTCTGTTTTAAAGTCTGAAAGCCACTGAGCCAGCCACACTGTAAGTTCCCTCCTGCAGTGGAACTATCTCCAAAACACATCTCCTTGGCAGACATACCAACAGGGCAAAGGGTCGGGGCTTCTGCCTTTATCCAGAACCCCCAAATCTAGATGGAAGATTACCAATAGCGGAGAAATGCCACTGATGTGGCACTTGGACTGTGGCCTCACCACGCAACCAAGGGGACAGGCCAAGTGTTCCCTCAGCAGTGTCACTCAGTGTCAGTGTCACTCAGTGACACTGAGTGAAGATGGGGCAAAGACCCAAAGCTGAGCTGGTTCCTGTGGCCCTGGCACTAGGTGTTGAGATCACAGGTCAAGTCCCACCTAAACCCTAAGGGCTCTGGGCAGCAAGGAAGGACTCCCTGCCTAGCTGACGACCAAGCCAGGGCCATCGGGTCCTACAATCCTGGTGTCTTAGCTCCCAGCTTCAACTCTACCCACCACCCTCTGTAGATTGTCCTGAGGTTCCTGATTTAAGCTGTCCTTGGGCACCCTCTTAATTCTGACGTCCAAAAGGAAGGAGATAAACTGCAGTCTGAGAGTCCAGACAGGACTTCTTTCTGTGTGGACATCCCAGTCTGGGCTTGCAGACCACCCTAGAACCCCAGACAGAGAGAGTGCCACTAAAATCTGCTGGTACCTGCACTGGGGGCATGGGGTGGAGCCCTGGCATCTGGCATGGGGCTGAGATGGTCTACCTGCTTGTTGACGGGTGCTATTTGAATGGTGACCACAAACTACAAGGTTCAGTCCGGGACTGCAGGGCTTTGGGCCTGTGAGTTCATGAGGACGAGCAGAAAGGAGCAGAAGGACCCAGTGTAACGCTAAGGGAGAACTCGGCTCTGGGATGATTAGTTACAAGGCCTCTGTACGATGGATGATAATCTCAGCTAACACTTATCTAGCACTTACAGTGTGCCAGGTATTGTTCCAAGTACTATATTTACTTTTACGCGCGCTTGCTTACATTAGTTTTCAAAACGCTGCCGTCATTTTCAGATGTAGGAAGTCAAGGGAAATTTAAGTTTCCCTTCCGAAAATGAACAAGTGGCAAAGCTAGGTTGGAAGCCAGGTGGAAGCATCTGTGTGCATCTAGCCAAACGGTCTCTCGGAAAGTCAGAGGCAGAAATGCAGCGAGGTTCACAGCTCCCAAGCGCTGGTCTGGCCCCAGTGCTTCTAGTCACCTAAGAAAAATTACTGCCTCCTCTCTCCCCGCACACCCTGATTATCACTGAATCAAAATGGGGGGTGGGCAGGAGAACTCACCCAGAATCTGTATCTATGCAAATCCCGTCTGATGATCCTACTGTGAGAAGAAGCAATATTGACCTGCATACCCAGAAGGGGCCCTCCCCCCTAGAAACCTTACCAAAGAACTGCCCCAAGGGCGCTCAGACACTCCCAACAATGGGGTCTCCTGGTCTCCGGGCTGCATTCAAAATGCCCCCTTACGTCATGATTAAGTCTCCCCAGCCCCTCAGCTGCCAGTCACTGGCCACAAGTCTCCAACATACCACACTGAAGCGAGCCCCACCCCCACAGCAGGCCAGTCCTTCTGCTGGTCCTGTCAGCCACCATCTCCATCTTCAGGGCCTCGAACCATTCCTTCTAGAACAAAACGTTGACATGACCCTTCATTTCAATGGTCTCCGCCTGAATGAATGTTTGGCGATTTTTCTTTTTAAAGTGAGGCATCCAGGGCAATTTAAAGTTAAATAATACACGTAACAGAGCTATGCAAAAGTATGGAAAGATCCCACAGGATAAAGCCATCACAGTCACGTCTCTTAACTTCTCTGCCCCTACTTTGCACGTCAGTAAGTACCCACATCTAAGCAAAAGAGCGAAATTCACTCCTCTGGCCAGGAGCACCACAGCTGGATTAGGACATCTAGGTCCTGCATTTAACAGTTTGTGTGACCAAGGACCAAATGTTCCTTTATGAGGCTCCCCACAGGAATTGGAGTGCACTTATCCCGCAGGGGTGCAAGAACCCTAGTAATAAACATCTGTAAGTTCCACTGGGTGCAGCGCCAAAGGTCAGCCTGTGTGATGCCTTACCAGTCCTTCTGTGACACATTCCGGTTGTAAATGTGCCCGCTGATGTTTCTATAGGGTGGACAGATGCATTTGCACCGTATATCTTCAGAGCTCTGGAAGAGAGAGAACATGGCTCAGGTAGGTAGAGGCCTGGGTTCAGGTTCTAGCAAGATTCTCAACTTTCAGTTCAGGTCACCCATAGGTGACCACAGAAATGCTTTTGAGTGCCAACCCCAAGTTCAGCAAAGAATGACTCTGTAAGATGGACACTCTATCAATGTCCAGGAAACAAATGGGACTCACAGATCCTAATGCCAGAAGAGGCCACAATGGCCTGAACCCCCAAGTAATGTTAATTGAACCATTCAGAATGGTTGCCTGTGGTGCTGTTCCCTAATAGGGCACCTGCGGTGAGGTTGGGGGGGTGGCAAGCAAAGCCACAGTCTTCTCTTCTGGGCCCCCCAAGTTGTGTGTGTGCCACAGACTGTCCAGCAGTCTGATGATGAGTCTCTCCTTCCATTCCATCTCTATCTTTCTAGGTTAGGACTGGGTTAGGGCAGGGGTGAACAAGACAAAATGGGTCATTTGCATGGGATTACTCAAGCAAACTCTCTAAACTCTTCCTTTCTGGAATGAGTAAGAAACAATTCCACAAATAATTTCATTCAAATTAGAAATTCCCCAGAAGGAGTGGAGGCAAACACCCAGATTCAATCTTACCTCAGTCTTGATGAAATTCCATAAATCTACCCAAACCTAGCTCCAGGCCATATCCCCCTAAAGAACAGGTGTCTTAGCTGTACCAGCACTTAGGTTTGTCACCCTCAGTGACAGAAATGCCCTTGGTGACAGAAAATGACAGGACTTTACACTTACACAGCCTTTCTACTCATTAGGATTTGATGTTCCCTAAGGAGAGTACAAGTCTACAACCACTGTTATACCCAGGAGTAAAGAGGGGTAGGGTGAACTTAGTTAACTTCCCCAAACACAAACTCCCTGGCTGGAATCCCACTGGCAGACACCTCAGGGGCATCTCTACCAGAGTCTTTCTCCTGGGGACCACCCTATGCCCAGCCTGGCTCCACCCGGGGGAGGTCCACAGCCAGAGCCAGGGAGAACACTTCTGGAAACAGGGCCCACAGGTGAGGAAGGGCAGGGATGGCACAGAGCTACCTCTGGGGAAGCCCTGACCCAGGTGTCAGCCAGGGGCACTGCTGGCTCACCTCCCTCACCTTGTTGGCTTGAGCTGGGGGTACCAACAAATACCCCATCACGGCAACCAAAGATAGGAGCTTCATGCTTATCAGGCTTCGGGGTCCAGCAAGACCGGGCACCTGGAAAAAGATACGGAACCGGAGAAGGGGAAGGTGGCCACACCTTAGCGCCCGGGTCTGTGACTGTGACACCCTAGCCAGGACTTGAGAACGGGGTGTGGGGTCGGGCTCCCGGAATCAGGGCCTCCTAAGTCTAGTTCCTAAATGCTGCTTTCTCTGTCTCCCAAGTCTCCAACGCTCCACCGCCCAACTGGTGCACAGAGGATTGGGGGTCTCCCGCGTACTCTGCCGCCCCAGGCCTCAAGTGCCTCCCACAGGCCCGGCTCGGACCCAGGCAGCTCGTCCCACCGCCCTCCGCCATCTCCACCTCCGCCCGCCCAGCAGCTCCTCCTCGCTCAGGCCCGAAGAAAACTTTGGGTGCAGAGCCTGAGAGCTTTGATCCATCAGCCAAGACCAGTGCCCACCCTGCGCAAGCGTCCTGGGCCCGGTGGGGACCCCTCAGTGTGCCCGAGAAGCCCGTACCCCTCCCCCAACGCCCCGACCGCAAACCTGGGCGCCCCGCCGCTGCAGCACAAGACCCAAATGGACCCGCCCCCTCCTGGCTTCTAGTGGCTGCCGCAGCAGCCTATCAATCTAGCCTTGCTATCTCCAGGGCAACAAGACCCACCTTCGCCTGGGCGTGGAGGCTCCCGCGCAAGGGAGAGAGGAGCATTTCTCAAACCCGACCAAACAAGAAAAGGGAGCGTCAGCCTTCCAAACTAGAAACCAAGGTCTTGGCCTTTGCTAGCCTGTAAAAACTCTTAAAGCGGTGATTTGTTCCTCCTTGTATTATAAAACTTCGGAGAAGGGTTAATCTGGCTCCACTTGCAGTTTTAAAGAGACAGCATTTCAGAAACAATAAACGAGTAGAAAATCTAACGATAAAAACCAATGAAAGGGCTTTGTCCTTATTCATAAACTGGAAAAGGTATTTAGGTAATTAAATAATCTGCAACTTTGCTGTGGAAGACTTTACCCCAAGCACCTTTTCTCCTCTCCCGTCCCTCTTAGAAGGGGAGGGGGAAACCCTTAGCAGCTATGGTGGGCCCCACAGCAACCCCTCAGCCTGGCCTCTTTGCCAGGGGGCTGGTGCAGGTCTGATTTGGGGAGAGGATGGCTGCAGGGAGTTAGGTCCAGGCTGCTGAGAGGCTGTTTCTACAAACTGTGGTGACCGCTGAGTCCAGGGTGCCGGTTGAGGACACCAGGGCTAGGCTCCTCATTCTGCTCTTGGAAAAGTCACCCTCTCTCCTCATGTCTTACTCCTCTCTGCTGGCAGAGTGCTCTGTATTGGTGCTGAGGAAATGTTTGCTAAACTGAGTGGATTTGACTGAACCCTGGGGCCGGGGGCGGGGTGTGTGTGTGTGTGTGTGTGTGTGACACAGTCATTAGGAGGAAGCCTATCTTCTGCAATTCCTAGTTGTGGGAATTTGGTGGTTAGTTATGCTTTGGTAGCCTCGGTTTCCATATCCTTTACAAGGGGACATTATCTACCTGTCAGGATGGCGTGGGGGTACAAGGAGCCAGTATGTGCAAAGCACCTGGAATGGTGACTGGAGCAAAGTGCAGGGCAGCGTTATACACAGAAACGTGAGCTCATTCTGAAGGTCAAAAAGACTTTGGTGGGCCGCTGGGGCAGTAACAGGGCGCCTGCCACAAGGAGGCAGCAGGGCACCCTCTTCCCCTCAAATGCCTCCCATATGGAGGCGGGAAGCTTCCATAGGACTAACGCAGTGCTGAGTTTGGGTCACCTCTATGTACAGCACCCTGACATTCGACACTGAAGGTGGCGGGTGCACAGCTCACTGCCCTCCCAATCACCTGGAAGCGAGTCTCCCATTTTCTCATTGCACAGTCATCCTGTATGTGGAATTATCTTGCCTGGCTATTTCCTGTCGCCGCCAGTCCTACCTAGGTATCCCTCTGAGGCAGCTATCATCCCCCAGCAGCACCCAGCCTCAGCTTGCATGCTGCTCCCTGAGACGCGCTCCTTCTTCTGTCCTGCTGCTTCCATTCCACCAGCCTCCACTCAGCACACCACTCCTTGCTCAGTAATCACGAGGAGCACGCTTTGGCACTAAATCCAGACTCTACCACCGGGTCACCATGTCTGCCCCCGCCCCCCAGCCATCTCATCTCTGGTTACTCGTACCAGCTGTCTCCCATGTTTGAATTCACTCAGACCATCCCTCCCAAAGGATATCATCACCCTGGCAGTGCTGCCAGTCCTTATCCTTTACGTCTTTCAAACCCCTGTCCCAAGCAGAAACTCTCCCAAGTAACCTGACCTAACCCCAGGCACCTCATTCCCGCCCCTGCTCTGTGAGCCCTGGGTTTTAGAATCATGCCGTTGAGATGAATGTGCACCTATTTATTCAATCTCATTCCACAAACATGTGCTGAGCACCAGACGCCCTGGGAGGAGCAACGCACAAGCCACGTGTGGACCCCACTTTTCAAGAAGCCCATAGTCCTGTGGAGAAATCACAGGGCCAGGATGTAACTTCTTTTGGAAGGGAGTATATCCTTTCCGGCCCCAGAAAAAAAGAGCGGCCCCAGAGCATGTTTGAGCATTCTGTGCCAGTCCCTGTGCTGACTGTAGAAATAAACAGTCAACAAGACAAGTCTGGCTCCTGTGCTCACAGGACTTGAAGCTTGTTGGACAGATCCACAGGCAGATACAATTTGGGGTGCTAGGGCTATGGTAGGGGAAGAGCAGAGGACTTACAGAAGTCCATGGGAAACCTAGACCAAGGACTTGGGGAGCCCAGTGTCGTAGAGAAGATTCTAGGCTAGTGGGGGTTGTTAGGGCTGGGCCAGAGTGGCAGGCAGAACGATACCCCAAATACCCAAGTCCTAATCCTCAGAACCTGAGAATACACTGTCCTGCATGGAAAGGGGACTTTGCAGATGTGGATAATCGAAGATCCACGGGGTAGGGACAGTAGCCTGGATTCTCCAGGTGGGCCCATCAGAAGAGGGTCCTCAGAAGAGGTAATGCTTTTCTGGCTGTGGTCAGAAGAGATGTGAGCACACCAGCAGGGCCAGAGAGAAACAACGCTGCTGGCTTTGGGGGTGGAGATGGGGCCTCAAACCAAGGAACATAGTGGTCTCTGAAAGTGGGTGGAAGCAAGGAAATGGGGTTTCCCTTGGACCTCCAAAGGGAACCCAGCCCCTCTTGCATCTTGGTTTTAGTCCCGTGACACCTGTCAGACTTCTAACTCCTGGAGCTGGAAGATAATAAATTTGTGTTGCTGCTATGTTCATAGTCATTCATTACAGCAGCAATGAAAACATCCAGGAAGGAAGGATGGGCAAGATTCAGATCTGACTCAGGAGCAGGTTGGTCGTGGGAAGTGAGTGTAGGAAGAACAAAGACAAGGCCCTGGGCAAAGGTATGCAGGGAAAGCTCCAGTGGTTCTGGCTGGCGGGAGCCCAAGGCGAGTGAGTGGGAAGGGTGGGTAGAAAGATAAGCCAGAGCCAGGCCTTGGTGGCAGCAGAGACTGGGTGTGGGCCAGGGAATGAGCGGGGCCCCTGGCTCAGGGTTCACTGGCGGGGCCGAGAGCAGGCAGCCTTGGAGACGTGTTCTCTCCAGTGGCAGAGGCCTTGTGGGACTTTTTAATTGGTCTTTATCCCACGCCTTGCTCTCTACTTCCATGCTTGGAGCTCTAAAATTTAGGCCAGAACCTAGACTCTTGTTTTCCCTCTCTGGTACCTACTTTTACCCCAACAAACTTCTAAGGCCAGATCTTGGCAACTGTGCCACAACTGAGGGTCTCACTCTTTG